TTTTTTTCGGCCGCGAGATTTTGTGGAGTGAGGAAAAGTCAAAGGCAAATTTGCATTTTACAATTTTAAATTTACATTTTACAATTTTAAATTTACATGTTAATTTATATGCAAATTGAGTTTTGGTTTGTTTTGGTTTGTTTTGGTGTTTTGGTTTTGGTTTTGTTTACCGAACTCTAATTTGTACCATCAATTCCTTTTTACTGATAGCCCACAGCAATTCCAGTCAATTCCTGCTAGTTTGCCCTTTTCTGGAAGACCCGGTTTCTCGAGCCGGGACCGAACCAGGGCTGTGTGGGCTTGAAAATATACGCCTTAACCACTACGCCACTTGGGATCGCCGCCCGTAAAAACTCAATTTAAAAAATTTCTGTCAGAGGGATTTGAAAAATTCCTTCAGATTCGGAATCAGCACAATTTTCCACATCTAAAAAAGGTACTCCCAGAAAAATCCGATAGAAAACGCATTTTCGCGCCGATGTGGGGCGTCCTTTTGGCTAAAGCGTTTGTCTACGAAACTAACAGGGCTCGATAGGTCGCTGGTTCGATCCCAGATCGAATAAATTCTTTGCAAAAATTGTTTTTTTGCAGTAATAAACATTTTTAACACAATTGTATTGTTTGCAAAGATCAATGGATGCGTGGATGTGAATGCCACGGATTTTCTAGTTTAAAGAGAGTTAAAAAAGTTAGATGGCTTCTTTCTTCTTTTAGATGGCTTCTTTTTAAGTTTAAAATTGTTTGTAACGCAATTGTTTTGTAACGTAAAAGGTGACAAAACTCGAGTGATTGTGTACTGTTCGTCATTGTCGAAACTTCTCTTGAAATCTGTTCTTCTTTTCAAAGGCCACGTACTGGGCTGTGTTTGTTGGTGGTCAGTCTTTTTCTCCGAAAATCATCGGAGGGGATCGATTGTGAATTGAAGAGAGAAAAAAAGGCGACTGCTTGCTTGAAACTTGCTTTTTAAAGTACTAACAATACGCTTGAAAGCTTTGATTGCGGAAAAAATGTGCTGCAAAAGAATACAGCAACATTGTAGCTAAAGTAGTAGCAAAAAATTCTCTGACATAAGCATACTGTAGTCACTTCTGACAAACTGTATCGTTTGGTTCTTTTGATAAGACGCGCTTAAGAAAAAGTCACCGTAGCTTTTACGGTAGTTAAAGTAGTAGTTAAAGTAGTAGCTAAAGTAGGAGTTAAAGTAGTAGCTAAAGTAGGTAAAGTAGCAGCTAAAGTAGTAGTTAAAGTAGTAGTTAAAGAAGTAGTAAAAGAAGTAGCTAAAGTAGTAAAGTAGCGCTAAAGTAGTAGTTAAAGTAGCAGCAAAAGAAGTAGCTAAAGTAGTAGTTAAAGTAGTAGTTAAAGAAGCAGTTAAAGAAGTAGCTAAAGAAGCAGCTAAAGTAGCAGCAAAAAATTCTCTGACATAAACCTACTCTAGTCACTTCTGACAAACTGTATCGTTTGGTTCTTTCGATAAGATGCGCTTAAGAAAAAGCCACCGTAGCTTTTACGGGGGATTACAGTAGCTTTTCAGTATATATTTATTGAGAAAAGATCCTTCTTACACATGCCAAGTACAGTACTACATGCCAAGTACAGTCACTGTCTATTTTCAAAGCAACACGCCTTTTCTATAGCTGAGAATGGAATGAATTTCAAGAGTGAAGGGGCTGACCTTTGTGTGGATTGTCCGGAATGGAAAAAGAGAAAGAAAAGCGGGACGAATACGTGGATTCGTGTTTGGACGCCGTGCTCAAATATGGCCGAAGCGAGAAGGCTATTTTGGTTAAAAATAGGAAAAGATGACTGTGGAAAAGAAAGAAATCGAAGAAATCGAATCGAAGGGACGTTAGCTTTTCAAAATCTTTCTTTGCAAAGCCAATTCTTTGCAAAGCCGATTCTTTTCATCCAGAGATTTTGTTGTTTTATTGTTTCTTTTACTTTGTACTGAACTTTGTACTGAACTTTGTACTGAACTTTGTACTGAACTTTGGACTGAACTTTGTACTGAACTTTGTACTGAACTTTGTACTGAACTTTGGACTGAACTTTGTACTGAACTTTGTACTGAACCTTGTACTGAACCTTGTACTGAACTTTGTACTGAACTTTGTACTGAACTTTGTACGGAACTTTGGACTGAACTTTACTGAACTCTGTACTGAACTTTGTACTGACTTTGTACTGAACTTTGGACTGAACTTTGTACTGAACTTTACTGAACTCTGTACTGAACTTTGTACTGAACCTTGTACTGAACTTTGTACTGAACTTTGTACTGAACTTTGTACTGAACTTTGTACTGAACTTTGTACGGAACTTTGTACTGAACTTTACTGAACTCTGTACTGAACTCTGTACTGAACTCTGTACTGAACTTTGTACTGAACTTTGTAAACGTACAATTCTTATAAAATAACCCCTAAAAATTCAACAGTTTCTTATTTCTTTATTTCTAAATCCATGTTTTTACAAAAAATTATTACTATAATTTGGATTAAAATCATCAAGCACAAAAAGAGAGATCTCTAGAGAGTAAAGGAGTGAAGAAAAGTGAGGAAAAGTGAAGAAAAGTGAAGAAAAGTGAAGAAAATGTGTTATCACTGGGAATGGCCAGAGAAAATTCGCATTTATCTATCAAAATTTGAATTCAAACGTAACCGGGCACGCTGAATCGAATAAAAAATAGTTTCAGCAATTGATTTTCCGCTATTTTTCGCTCCTTTCGCTATTCTTGTGTATTTAATGACAAGGAAAACAAATGAAAACAAGCTAGCGTATCAATAACGATAACGTTAGCGTTATTGATATGCTAGCTTGTTTTGAAGCTAACATATCAATAACGATAACGTTATTGATAACGATAACGCTTAGCCAAAAGACATACATCAAATTCTCATCATTATTCTCCTACTTCATCCCAAAGTGGTCATCCAAAAGCTCCGCTTCAACCCATGCCTCATTCTGATTTGACTCTTACGCTGGCTACGCTGGCTCGCTGCCGGCACCGACCGGACGCGGCCGCGACGCTGGCCGCGGCCGCTGGCACGCTGGCCGCGTACGCGGCTACGCTGGCTACGCGGCCGCTGGCTCGCGGCCGCGGCCGCTGGCTACGCGCTACGCGGTACGCTGGCACGCGGCCGCTGGCTCGCTGGCTACGCTGGCCGCGGCTACGCTGGCTCGCGCGGCTGCGCTGGCTACGCTGGCTCGCTGGTACGCTGGCGCTGGCCGCTGGCTACGCTGGCTACGCTGGTCGCTGGCTACGCGTCGCGGCCGCGGCTACGCGGCTGCTGGTACGCTGGCTCGCTGGCTACGCTGGCTCGCTGGTCGCTGGCTACGCTGGCTCGCTGGCTCGCTGGCGCTGGCTCGCTGGCTCGCTGGCGCTGGCTCGCTGGCTCGTGGCCGCTGGCTCGCTGGCCGCTGGCCGCTGGCCCTGGTACGCTGGCTCGCTGGCTCGTGGCTCGCTGGTACGCTGGTCGCTGGCCGCGCGCTGGCGTGGCGGGCGTGGCGCTGGTACGCTGGTCGCTGGACGCTGGCGCTGTCGCTGGTCGCTGGCTACGCTGAGTTCTAAATAAAAAAACTCTGCAATAAGCTACCGTAAATACTGTAATAGTACCCCACCCCCATAATGACGGTGCGGAGCGTCGCGTAGCTCTAGCTTTGAACGAGTTTTTCTCGACACTGGTTTATGCTACAATGCTCGTTTAGGTATCATAAAGTAGCTGAGATTTAGGGCTATTTTTTGATATCTAAGCACGCATTGTAGCTTAAACCAGTGTCGAGAAAAACTCGTTCAAAAATAGCCCTGAATTTCAGCTATTTTTTGATACCAAAGACGCATTTTTTGAAAGTACGGGTGCTTTGAAAAAAATGAAATACGAAAAAACTTACGACTACGACTACGCGACTGTACGAGGGGGGTGGGGTCCAATTACAGTATTTACGGTATGTCTATACCTTATCTTTCTAATAATCACTGGGATTCTACACGTGCGACGAGAACGATTTTAGCTCTCTCGGCTTGAACGCTGAGTTTCATTGGATTAGCAATTGGATGCCAATTATGCACGTCCCAAAAAATCCCTTTTCATTTGTCATTTGTCAAAATCCTCTTTTTTAAAGCAAGGCTACTCAGCCAATAAATTGAAAGCCAATGAATTGAAAGCTAATGAATTGAAAGCTAATGAATTGAAAGTCATTGAAAGCCAATGAATTGAAAACTAATCAATTGAAAGCCATTGAAAGCCAATCAATCGAAAGCCAATCATTTGAAAGTCAATAAATTGAAAGCCAATGAATTGACAGCCAATAAGTTGAAAGCCAATCAATTGAAAGCTAATCAATTGAAAGCCATTGAAAGCCGATGAATCGAAAGCCAATCAATCGAAAGCCAATCAATTGAAAGCCAATAAATTGCAGCCAATCGATCGAAAGCCAATGAATTGAAAGCCAATGAATTGAAAGTCAATCAATCAAAAGCCAATCAATTAAAAGCCAATCAATTGAAAGCCAATCAATTCAGCCAATCAATTTCAATTCTAGTCTACCGCTATCCCCACCAGATCTCAATAGAAACTTTTTTAATAGAGACAAGAAAGGATTCAAGAAAGGATTAAAGAAAGTAAATCATTGAAAATCAAGCGTTGAAAGTATTTTTATTGAATTCAGCGTGCCCGATTCGATAATCATAAATCCAAGTTTTCATAGAAAAATGCGAATTTTCCGAGGCTCCGCCCCTCATTGCGATAGCACCGAAGAAAAAAAAGGGTAAGTGAAGGAAAAGACGGTAAGTGAAGGAAAAAAAAACGGAAATCATCAAATCACAAAATTTCAAGCCGATTTCAGGGCTGAAATGACCCGTTTCAGGGCTGAAATGAACTACTTTTTGTTTTTGGGGGCAAGTCAATGAAAAAGACACGGGGAAATTATGTACAAAGTTGACAAATTCATAAATATCAAATTAAGCTCTAGAAATCGTTTCTTCTAGAATTCTAGAAGCTTTATGAATCGGTGGATCGAAGCGAGCAGCGTCTCATCTTGTCGGTGAGACCGGCTGCTTCGACGAATTTCGTTCCCTGAAATCGATTGTTTGAGCAAGAGAAATCGAAATTTTTGGGTTTAATTTGAAGAACAATAGCTCTTCAATACCTAACAATTGCTCAAAGTTTACTCTTCTTTTTATTTTCTTTCGGATTTGTAAACTTTTGGAAACCTTTAAACTTTTAAACTTTTAAACTTTTAAACTTTTAAAGGACAGTAGAATGCTTTAGTTATAAGCTAAAAGTTGAAAAAGATCGAAAGATGGTTAGGAATTTATAGCATTCTAATTTATCGCATTTTAAGCTTAAACGTACTATAACTAGAGCACGAAATAAGTTGAAATAAGTTGGTTTCGATTCGGTTTTGATTAGGTTTTGATTAGGTTTTGATTCGGTTTCGATTCGGTTTTGATTAGGTTTTGATTAGGTTTTGATTCGGTTCCGTTTCGGTTTTGATTCGGTTTCGATTCGGTTTTGATTAGGTTTTGATTAGGTTTTGATTAGGTTTTGATTAGGTTTTGATTCGGTTTCGATTCGGCTCCGATTAGGTTTCGATTAAGTTTTGATTCGGTTCCGTTTCGGTTTCGGTTTCGATTAGGTTTCGATTAGGTTCAGATTCGGTTCTCTATCCTTTCCCATTCAATTCCAATTCGGTTGAAGTTGAAGATGGGAATTCGATTTATTACGGACAATTCTCATTTAATCTTTTATTTTGATTCGTTGAAACTCTTGACTTTCAAATTCGAATTCAAATTCAAATTTTTCAGATTCAACTTTCAAATTTAAATCAATTTCATTTCAACCTTCAACTTTGAATCAATTTCATTTCAAATCCAACATTGAATCAATTTCATTTCAAATACAAATCCTTTCAAGCATCCTTGTACTATGTGGGGAGGTAAACTTCAAATTCTTATATCAAATTAGATATAAGGAATATTCTTATATCAATTAAGATCTAAGAATATTCTTATATCAATTAAGATCTAAGAATATTCTGATATCAATTAAGATCTAAGAATATTCTTATATCAAACTAGATATAAGGAATATTCCTATATCTTCTATCTACTCACATTGGCAAGGACTCTCTCGGCAGCGTTTAAAGCAAAGGCGATCGTTGGGTAGAATTGATCCTCACTCGCCACATCGAATAAACCAGCTTTACGATATTGAACAAGGACAGCGCCTGAAGAGAAATTTAGAGTATAAAAAGTTTATAAAAACTAGATCTATACCACTGTACACCTTTTTACAATTACGATAATCGGATTGTCTTTTCCAACATTTAAAAAACCCGCTTTCAAAAGGTTATCAGCGCTCCATCAGCAACCCAACTTTGAGCTCAAATATCTTAGCTTTGGGTTATCCAATTTAAACATCTTTAATATCATTAGATGCGCCAAGTCTTTCTCTATCGATTGATATAAAACCTAATTAAATTGAACCGCCCAGCACCGAGTTCTTTAAGCTCAAAGTTAGATTGGCAAAAGGGGCGGGGCTAAAAAGACCTTTTATACGTGCCCCGCCCCTTTTGCCATTGGTAATCTAGCTTTGAGCTGAAAGATCTCGGTGTTGGACATCTCCAAGACAGTCAACATCTCCAAGACGGTCCAATTCTTTCAAAAGCCATTCCAAAAACTCACTCCTCACTTCCGAGAAGAGAATCAACGTTCTCTTCGTCAACATCTCCAAGATCAGCTGAAATCCCTCTCTAGGTCGACTTTGATAACGATTTCCCACCTCTTTCACAGCCTCAATTCCCATCGAATCCGTGTAAACCCATGTGGAACAGTCGAGAATCACCACCTCCCATGGTGCTTCTTTTTCTTCTTTTTCTTCTTTCTTTTCTCTTTCCACCTCGTCACCAAGTGGGATCTTTTCGGGAGCCGACACGTAGACTAAAAAGTTGATTAAATAAAATGATTACCGTATTCTCTCTAATAGTAGTGCGCACTACTGTTTTTTCAACCCCCTCCTGGACCGCAATACTATTAGAGAGTGCACTACTATTAGAGAGAATACGGGATATGATTCTATTGATAAAGTTGATTAAATAAAATGTTTATATGATTATATTGATAAAGTTGATTAAGTAAAATGATTATAAAAATAGATCCGGGTATTATAAAAGTAGATCCGGAGATATAAAAGCTTTCTGTTCTGTATAAAAGTTCTGCGAAACTAAAAACGGATTCGAGATCATGGCCGACTCTATAAGATGGATTGTTCTCGAGTCAAAAGGCAAGGTTGACTAGATGAGACAAAAGGCAAGCTTGACTAGATCAGACAAAAGGCCAGCTTAACCGTCTCGAAGATGTTAGCATATCGCCGAATGTTCAACGTGCCGCTCTTGGCACACGCCGGAAACGAGAGGCCCAAGACCGATTATTTGAAGCTGGCCGTTGTGGACGGGAAGAAAGGCAACCGAGCGACCAAGGATCCGGTTTGGTTTATTCTTAGTTTATATGGTTCCTAGTTAATTGAAATTCGCTTGACTAGATCAGCCAGAAGAGCTAGCTTGACTAGATCAGACAAAAGGCCAGCTTGACTAGATGAGACAAAAGGCCAGCTTGACTAGATGAGACAAAAGGCCAGCTTGACTAGATCAGACAAAAGGCCAACTTGACTAGATCAGACAAAAGGCCAGCTTGACTAGATCAGACAAAAGGCCAACTTGACTAGATGAGACAAAAGGCCAACTTGACTAGATCAGACAAAAGGCCAGCTTGACTAGATGAGACAAAAGGCCAACTTGACTAGATCAGACAAAAGGCCAGCTTGACTAGATCAGCCAAAAGGCCAGCTTGACTAGATCAGACAAAAGGCCAGCTTGACTAGATCAGCCAAAAGGGCCAGCTTGACTAGATCAGACAAAAGGCCAGCTTATAAAAGTAGATCCGGAGATATAAAAGTAGATCTGGGTCCTCGCTATTCGATTAATTTCGCTAATCGCTATTCGATTAATCCTTAAACTCGGAAATGAAATGGAGAACTGATAAAATCAAGAACACTTTTCCAATGAAACAATGAAATCAGGTTTCTCTATTTTTGGTATCTTTTGCTGTGGTTATTGATAATCTGTCACTTGAACATTTCATGATGTTGTACGAGTTTCTACAAGGATTCAGCAACTTCTACAATTTCTACAGTGTCTACAGTGTCTACAGTGTCTACAGTTTCTACAATTTCTACAAGCATCTCTACAAGGATAAGGGCCGCTAGTGCTTAGCTAAGGGCCTCTAGTGCTTAGCTAGAGGCCCTTATTCTTGTAGAAATCCTTGTAGAGAAAGCTTAGCCTTCCACATAAATATAAAAATGTTTATATGAAAGGATAAGCTCCATTACGGAGGTGTGCAAATTGATTTGCTGAATTGCGTTCTGGAGATAAATCCTCGAAGACAAAGACAGTCAGCAAAGGCAGACAGACAAAGACAGACAGACAAAGACAAAGACAGTGCGGCAGTTCAGCTGAAAGTTTCTCGAAATCTTTCAAACCAACAACAGGCTTTCTTTTCGTCGAATAGCAAAAGAGTTATTAGTTGAGAATATAAAAATGCTCAAACATTTGCATAAACTTGAGTTTAAATCGAAATTCGGAACTTGGATTGCACAGACAGACAGACGGAACATAACAGACATGGAGAAATGTCAACTAATCAGAGAATGCTTATCAGAACCATCTCAATCAGCTCATCTTTCACGATACGGGTTATTAGCTATTCTCTAGAATAGCTGGATTACGTTATTTAGTCTAGATTAGAGTATTCAGTCTAGATCATAGTATTCAGTCTGGATTAGAGTATTCAGTCTAGACTGTTAGGATTACGGCATTCAATCTAGAATAGGATATTCAGTCTAGAATAGTTAGATTACGGTATTTAGTCACGATACTTGAATCTCACTTGGATGGGAGATGATGACCGATCCAGTTCTGATCTTGCACCTTTTGACTACTACTTATTCCTTTGATGAGCAATGGCTTGGCCAATAAGCGCTTTGATTCTGAAGATGGTGTGAAAAAAGGGATTGATTAGACGGATCAGATCAAACGGACGGATGGCGAATCAGATCAAACGAACGGATTACGGATCACATCAAACAGAACTCCAAACGAACGATTTGGTCGCAAACAGACGTTCGACATCAAACGCGGATTACGGATCAGATCAAACGAACGGATTACGGATCAGATCAAACAGACGGATTACGGATCACATCAAACAGACGGATTACGGATCAGATCAAACAGACGGATTACGGATCAGATCAAACAGACGGATTACGGATCAGATCAAACGAACGGATTACGGATCACATCAAACAGACGGATTACGGATCAGATCAAACGAACGGATTACGGATCAGATCAAACAGACGGATTACGGATCAGATCAAACAGACGGATTACGGATCACATCAAAACCAATCAAATCAATCAAATTAAAACCAATTTTTTAGGAGACAGGCTTTCGATCTTTGCCAGTGAAATGGATCCGGGATTTAACGAAATGAAATGAATTTAACATCTAGGTTTTCGTGCTTTGATTTACCTCTTGAAAGTGTGTGAATCTCGTGTCGAATTGCTCGCTTGAAGCGCTCAACATTCGTGAAGATCAACGGGGCGTCGAATCTGTAAGGTAACTTTAGAGATGCTTGATTCTTTGACCTGAAAAATCAAGAGGATTCGAACGGCAGAGCCTTCGATTTCTGGGATTGATTCTACCGTTCTAGAGTCAATCGTCACAAGCACTCAACCATCGCCACACTTGGCTTTGTAGTGTACTTCGTGCTGGAAAGTAGAAACGCACTCTGTCTTTTTACCTGATAACGGGAACAATTGGCGGAATAGCGGCTGAGAAACGATTGGCCACACGAAAATCCCCACACGGAAGACGACCCATTTCATTCATTGGAGGCCTGAAAAGTTTAGTTTTAAAGAAAGCTAGAGAAAGCTAGATTTTACAAATCCAAAGCTTTATTTTGTTAGATAATTCCGAAAATCGAAAGTTAGATAGTTTTTTAACTCAAATAACCCGAAAAAAAAAAGCTTTTTTTTGAGAACCTAAAAGAGCCAGCTATATTGAGACCAATGTCACTGAAATTGGGATTGAAAATTTGATTTAAATAAAGACTTTTTTCCCCAACCATTGAGTCCGGGCAATGACACTGAGGACGGCGAGGACGACGCCAGCAACGAGACCTTCAACTATATCATAGCCGAGTACGCAAATGGCCGTGATCACCCAGATTGCCTAAAGGAAATTGAGGATTGAAGGAATTGATCGAGCATGATGATCGAGCTAACTCTAGTCTAACTATTCTTCTAACAAGGGAAAGGCCTTTCGAAGCTGGCCTTTTGAAGCTGGCCTTTTGAAGCTGGCCTTTTGAAGCTGGTCTTTTGAAGCTGGCCTTTTGAAGCTGGCCTTTTGAAGCTGGCCTTTTGAAGTTGGCCTTTTGAAGCTGGCCTTTTGAAGCTGGCCTTTTGAAGCTGGCCTTTTGAAGCTGGCCCTTTGAAACTGGCCTTTTGAAGCTGGCCTTTTGAAGCTGGCCTTTTGAAGCTGGCCTTTTGAAGTTGGCCCTTTTGACTCAAGTCCAAGTCCATTTTATAGAGTCGGCCATGATCTCGAGTCTGTTTTTAGTTTCACAGAAAGCTTCGCAAGCGCGAGATATCCTTTCGGACTCCTTAAGAAGCCGAACAACTGCTTCGGTGGCCTAGTGGATAGTCTGCTAGACCACGGAACCTATGACACTTTTTGCCTGAGGTTCGAGTCCCACTCTCGTCAAACCATTTTTTGCTTTTTTAAAAACTGTTCCCCTACGTATTTAGCATGAATAATAGTGTTGAATTTATGCATTTGTAAATTTCAGAAATAAGTAGGCAAGCAGTTTGTTCGGAAAAGTAAAAAGGTTTGGCGAGAGTGGGACTTGAGCTTGAGGGCAAGAAATGTAACAGCTTCGATTGTCTGGCCAACTATCCACTAGGCCACCGAAAAAGTTGTTTTCAGGCGGTGTGTGGCGGCTTGTTAAGGAGTCCGAAAGGATATTTGGCGCTTGCAGCTTTCTGCAAAACTACAAACGGATTCGAGATCATGGCCGACTCTAGAAGATGGATTGTTCTCGAGTCAAAAGGCCAGCTTCACTAGATCAGCCAAAGGGCCAGCTTGACTAGATGAGACAAAGGGCCAGCTTAGCTTTCCTTTTCTGGGATTTTTCCCTTCTAAGAGTTTGAAGTAAAACGGTAAAATGATCGTTAAAGCATCGTTTAGCTCAGCATTTCTAAAGTAAGCTGACACTTGGAGAACTTGTAAGCGTCGTAGGCAAGAAAACGACAGAATACGACAACTACCGTAAGTCTGTTACCCTATAGTTACAGTATGCTAGATTAGAGTTGAAAAACAGATGCCGATTACCGTAATCAAGTCCACATTACTGTATTCTTGTGAAATTTCGTTAAAAAAAGTTTCAATATTGTTAATAAACTTAAGAAATATTGATTATAAAGTACTGTTTGGTTAGAAAAGTTCGGTACATGTACATGTGGAAATGTACATGTGGAAATGTACATAAGGAAATGTACATGTGGAAATGTACATGTGGAAATGTACATGTGGAAATGTACATGTGGAAATGTACATGTGGAAATGTACATGTGGAAGTGTACATGTGGAAATGTACCTATGGAAATGTACATCTGGAAATGTACATGTGGAAATGTACATGTGGAAATGTACATGTGGAAATGTACCTATGGAAATGTACATAAGGAAATGTACATGTGGAAATGTACATGTGGAAATGTACATGTGGAAATGTACATGTGGAAATGTACATAAGGAAATGTACATGTGGAAATGTACATCTGGAAATGTACATGTGTACAATTCGTATGGAAAGTAAGCAAGACAACTTACCGCTTAACGTTTACTTACTCGTTTAACTTACCGCATCAATTTTTGAGATTTTGTACAACGGTCCGACTTCGGTCACTTTCATCATCAAAGATCGCAGTGCCACGATGACAATTGAGCTCAAGACACACTAAAACATTTTCATTTAATAACATTTATTAGGCTTTTCATCTAGCTATCTATTTTCAATTTCTTTTCAATTTCTTTTCAATTTCTTTTCCATTTCTTTTACCATTGGAAGATCCTCAAGAAGTGGGCCAACAACCAAAATGACAACCAATGTAATTGACGCTGAAATGACACCAGAAATCTAAAAAATGAATGGTACGCTCGATTTTAAAGCTTAAAAAGGCGCTTTTAACAAAAAGGAATCGCTTTAGGATTTAAACCTAATTTATTCCGCCCTCTCAACCCAGCCCCCTGGCCTAGTGGCTAAGAGCCCTGTTTCTCACACGGGAGTTAGAGGTGAGGCAAAGGGTTCGATCCCGCCAACTAGATCTTCGAATTTTTTGCAGATTTCTGGGTTATTTTTCAATTGCTATTGAAAGTTTTGACTGGTTTTGACTGGTTTTGACTGGTTTTGACTGGTTTTGACTGGTTTTGACTGGTTTTGACTGGTTTTGACTGGTTTTGACTGGTTTTGACTGGTTTTGAATGATTTTGACTGGTTTTGACTGGTTTGACTGCTCTGACTGCTTTGACTGCTCTGACTGCTTTGACTGCTTTGACTGCTTTGACAGGTAACAAAATTTGATACAAAGAGTGAATTTGGTTCAAAAAACTTGAGACTTTCTAATCAAAAATTGAAGTTGGGACTCAAAATTCAACTTTAATTCAACTCTAATTCAACTTTTCTATCTTTTTGTTAAACCCTTTAGACTTACTTGTGATTTTGCGCCCGAAGCCTCATTGACAAGGGTTCTTGAAAGGGAGCAACTTGTCGGGAAAACATTGAACATCGATGAGAAAACAGATACAGTACCCAAGGCTAAAAGCTCCTGAAAAGATGGGGTTTAGCTTTATTTCTTTTTTTTCTAAACCCTCACTTGATTTGGATTTATTGTGTATCCATGCTTTTTCGCGAACATTTTCCCCATTGACACAGTGATGGCAAAAGCGACGACAGCAATTGAAAGGCCATAGGAAAGGAGGTGAGGGAAGAGCTTGAGATTTGGGAAGTGGAATGGAGGGAAACTGAAATCGGGAATTTATAATGAATGTTTTCTCAATTTGATTCAATTTTGAGTACTCGAATGACTCTTTGAGATTTGCTTTGTGCTGTTTAAAGTCTAAAATGATTGATATTGAAAGCGACAACAGCAATTGAAAGACCATAGGTGTAAGAAATATACTTTATACTTTGATCTTTATAATCTTTATAATTTCTCTTTCTTGCGAGACGGTGTATCGGTGTGGTTCAGTTATTAGAGCCTGAGCCTGAGCCTAAGCCTATCCCAAAATCGACTTGTCAGATCTCAAATTCCAGACACGAGATCGACCTGAAAATTTGCCAGGATGCTCCTCTGGGAGGCGCAAGCACAACACCAAACGGGTGTCCCTTAGCTCCGAGAACTCGATGAGATCCAAAAAATGGGGGTTCAGCCCAAACCCAAATACACTTAGTGCTAGGCGCTAGCCGCTAGCCTTCGCACTAAGTCCAAGCCTGAGCCTAAGCCTAAGCCTAAGCCTAAGCCTAAGTCTGAGCCTAAGCCTAAGCCTGAGCCTCAGCCTGAGCCTAAGCCTAAGCCTGAGCCTCAGCCTGAGCCTAAGCCTAAGCCTGAGCCTAAGCCTAAGCCTGAGCCTCAGCCTGAGCCTAAGCCTAAGCCTAAGCCTAAGTCTGAGCCTAAGCCTAAGCCTGAGCCTCAGCCTGAGCCTGCCCAAGCCTAAGCCTAAGTCTGAGCCCTAAGCCTAAGCCTGAGCCCCAGCCTGAGCCTAAGTCCTAAGCCTGAGCCTAAGCCTGAGCCTGAGCCTAAGCCTAAGCCTGAGCCTAAGCCTAAGCCTGAGCCTAAGCCTAAGCCTGAGCCTAAGCCTAAGCCTGAGCCTAAGCCTAAGCCTGAGCCTAAGCCTAAGCCTGAGCCTAAGCCTGAGCCTGAGCAAACTGGAGCAACCTGGCACTATCACAATTACTTCAACACTTGCGTGTGAAAAAAAGGAGCCCACGATTGACTCAAACTGACCATTATCTGACTAAATAATGGGTTTTTAAGTACACAAGCTACGACAAACGGACAACTGAATATCGTCTAGTGACTGATTACGGTAGTTTATCCATCAACTTTGAATTTTAACTTGCGTATTCAATTTTGATTAACTGCAGAGCAGTGGCAATTCGCCAAAATAGGAAAGGAGAAATAGGGGGAAAGAGGGAGAAAGTTTGAGATTTGAGAAGTGGAATGGAGGGAAACTGATTCGATTCGATGATTAGATCTTGATTTAAGTCTTGACTTGATATAAGTCTTGACTTATATCAATTCAAGACTTTAATGCATTGGATTTAGTGCGTTTCAACTGATAAGCACAAAGTACACCTTGTCGATAAAGAATCTCTCAATAATCAAAGCTTATTGTCTCTCTAAATACTTCAATACTTCAGAAAGCCTTCTATTTATGAGCGTTCCTTGATAGTTCCTTTATAGTTCCTATTTAGTTCCTTTAAAGTTCCTTTATCGTTCCTTTGATCAAGCTAATCAAATAAATCACTTTCAACCATTCTAGAGATCATTCGATCAAGTTTCCCGTTTGTTTAGCTTGAACAAAGCTAGATCAAAGCTAGATCAAAGCTAGATCAAAGCTAGATCAAAGCACTCACCCAGTTGGAATGTCATTGATAATGTTGACCTTCCATTTCTCGTGAATCTTCAAGAAATGTGAGAAGATTGTCACACTCACTAGCTGAAATTTGTCGATTCCTTTCGATCTTTTGATTCCAGACCTTTCGATCTTTTGATTCCAGCTTTAAATCCAATTTTAGCTTCAACTTTTCCTCACCAAAATGAGCTCCG